CTCAATGCTTGCCCCAAGTTCAGGGTTATAACTTCCTATTCCAGATGCCTACTGCATTAGTCAAACTGAATGCAAGCGTTCATTAATGCAAATGTGCTTCCAATGCAGCATGGTGGATGGATCCTCTCTTTCTAATCTCATTTTCACTTACTTTTCTTCCAATGTTTTCTAAAGAAACAGTATTTTCCATCTTCCATTCTTATCAAACTCTTATCAAAGGTTTCAGGAGTAAAACAAAAAATTTCAGTTTGATTTTGATTTTGTTGGTGGGAGCATATACCCTAGATGATACTAAATTATATCACTAATAGTGATAATATGGTCAAAACAATGATATCTGCCTCTTCTGCTGTCATGATTTTAATATTAACTTCAAAATGCAACCTCTAAAAAAAAGTCTAAACCCTAAAATATAGTTAATTTATTTGATCATCTTTATTACAGGTCCAGCAGTTATGACCATGACTTTGGCATTCTCAGAGTCTTACTTACTTGCTGTGTTACCTTGAGAAAGTTATTCACCATTTTCAAGTTATTTAAATTGGTAAAAGAGGTAGTCCCTTTCCTTCATAGAGTTGCTTATAAAGATTAAATGAGATGATTCACGTAAAGTTTACTGGGCATAGTAAAAGTTCAATAAAAATTAGTCACATACTACATCTATACTTCTGTCAATATCTTTTTTTTTTTTTTTTTTGAGACGGAGTTTCACTCTCGTTACCCAGGCTGGAGTGCAATGGCGCGATCTCGGCTCACCGCAACCTCCGCCTCCTGGGTTCAGGCAATTCTCCTGCCTCAGCCTCCTGAGTAGCTGGGATTACAGGCACGACCCACCATGCCCAGCTAATTTTTTTTTGTATTTTTAGTAGAGACGGGGTTTCACCATGTTGTCCAGGATGGTCTCGATCTGTTGACCTCGTGATCCACCCGCCTCGGCCTCCCAAAGTGCTGGGATTACAGGCTTGAGCCACCGCGCCCGGCCCTGTCAATATCTTTCTATTTTATGAAGTGCAGGAAAACATCGTTAAAATGTAATCCACTATTTTGAAACTCTCAGGAATTATTAGCCTGGAATATAATGTTGCTTGATGGAAAAAAGAAACCATAACCTAAACACTGCAAGGACAAGGACTACTCAGGGGTACAACTTACTGAAGAAGGAACTGATTATTCCATTGACTCTACTTAGAAATCTACTCATATCAAAAGTTTAACTTCCTAGCTTATCTAGATGTATTCTCAAAGTAGTACAACTTAATGAGTATCACAAAATTTATTTTAAAAAAATTTAACTGCCTGTCATTCAGTCTGAATTAACGACATTTTAAATACATGCATCTACCTGAAACCCAATAATGTTAAGTATGTATTTCATGATTTAAAAAATATGTCATTCTTAAATCTTAAAATGTCCTGTTTAGGCCAGGTACGGAGGCTCATGCCTGTAACCCCAGCACTTTGGGAAGCCAAGGTGGAAGGACCACTTGTGCTCAGGACTTCTGTCTGGGCAACCTAGTGAGACCCTGATGCTATTTTTTTTTAAAGTCCTATTTAATTATTACAACATATTGCTTAATATGTCTGGTGTATATAAAAGTAGCCAGCTTCCCTAATACTAGATATCTAAAGCATATGAAACCAAATAAATTAGTTGGGTTAGTGTCAGTGATGGACTTGAGGTTTATGCTGATGGCAGCAGTCACTTTCACAGGCCTGTATGGAAGTGGACTGTTACCAGAGCCCTCATCTCCCACCCAGGGTTTTAATACAGTTAACCAAGTATATCAACAGCTTTCTCTTCACTTATTTTTACGAAGGCAGACTGGAAGCTACCAGTTTTGGCTACCCTAGAAAACACCTAGATCATCTGCCAAGGTGAGGTGTTCCCTCAAACAACTGAACAGGCTAACCTCTAGACTGCCAATGACATAGAGCCCCACTGGGCTACTTTTCCATCATGTGTTTTGTTTATTTGTTTGTTACAGGAGAAAATACTACTAATAGAGGCTAAATGAAACCCATTCAAGGAAAAGACATTCTTTTTTTTTTTTTTGAGACAAAGTTTTGCTCTTTCATCCAGGCTGGAATGCAATGGTGTGATTTGGCTCACTGCAACCTCTGCCCCCTCCTTCCCCACCCCCCAACCAGGTTCAAATGATTTTCCTGCCTTGGCCTCCTGAGTGGCTGGGATTATAGGCACCCACACCATGCCTGGCTAATTTTTTTATATTTTTAGTAGAGATGGGGTTTCACCATTTTGGCCAGGCTGGTCTTGAACTCTTGACCTCAGGTGATCCACCTGCCTCAGCCTCCCAAAGTGCTAGAATTACAGGCATGAGCCACCATTCCCGGCCAGATAAGGCATTTTTAATTACCTTTTTAGAATAACACTATTGTCAATCTACATTAGTCAAAAAAAATTTTTTTTGGAAGCAAAAAGGAAAAATAAGTGTATGCTATCTTACAAATTCTAACACACACTGTGAAACTGAAGCCTATTTAAACATTCATTTTTAATTAAAATCCTTTTTATTTACCTCCCTTCTACTTGAGTGTACATGTAATTTTTGTTAACACGGATTAAAAAATTTTTAAAGCTATGACAGTTATCTTTTCAACATGTCATATATTAGGTATGTTAGGCATGGGTTACACCATTACACCATACATTAGAGTATCAACTATCCCTTTTCTTTTTAATTTTTATTTTTTTCATAAACATCAAACTTGGGCTAGCTTACTGACTCAACTATCCCTTTGCTATATGAAAAAAGTGACTTGGCTGGCACAGTGGCTCATGCCTATAATCTCAGCACTTTGGGAGGCTGAGGTGGGCGAATCCCTTGAGGTCAGGAGTTTGAGACCAGGCTAACATGATGAAACCGCATTTCTACTAAAAATACAAAAATTAGCTGGGTGTGGTGGTACACGTCTATAATCCCAGCTACTCAGGAGGCTGAGGTGAGAGAATCGCTTGAACCTGGTGGGTGGAGGCTGCAGTGAGCTGAGATCATGCCATTGTACTCCAGCCTGGACAACAGAGACTCCATCTCAAAAAAAAAAAAAAAAAAAAAAAGAAAAAGAAAAAGAAAAAAGGAAAATCAAAAAGTGACTTAAGGTTAGAATTTGTTAAAGATCTGAAATACTTACAAGAGAGGAAATATAATGATTTGTTCTATTTATACTGTATTTTTCTTCCAGAGTAGAATAAATGTAATACCTATTTGCCTAAATTATTAAGCTTCTCATAAGAAAAAAAAACCCTTAAAAATATAAATATGGTCAAGTTCCAAATGTCAAGAACAATATAAGTACTTTTTTTTGAGATGTAGCTTCACTCTTGCTGCCCAGGCTGGAGTGCAGCATCACGATCTCCGCTCACTGCAACCTCCACCTCCCTGGTTCAAGCGATTCTCCTGCTTCAGCCTCCTGAGTAGCTGGGATTAGAAGCATGTACCACTACATCCAGCTAATTTTTTTTTTTTTTTTTTTTTTCATTTATGGAGTTTTGCCATGTTGGCCAGCCTGGTCTCAAACTCCTGACCTCGGGTGATCGACCCACCTTGGCCTCCCAAAGTGCTGGGATTACAGGTGTGAGCCACCACACCCGACCAAATTTTGTATTTTTAGTATAGACAGGGCTTCCCCATGTTGTTCAGGCTGGTCTCAAACTCCAGACCTCAGGTGATCCACCTGCCTTGGCCTCCCAAAGTGCTGGGATTACAGGCGTGAGCCACCACAAGAAGCAGATTAAACAAGGCAAAAGTTTTACTAATTAAAAAAAAAAAATCCCATTATATTTTTATTGTTATAAGGGAAAAGTCTTTTGCAGCTAGAGAATTCCAGCTGCAACTGTTTGCACAACACTTCTTAAATCTATAAATCTATCTAGTGATTTTAACTACTTTTCCTTTTTTAAAATAAGGGTTTTCCACTGACCTATATTTGGGTCTAGTACAATAGCACAAATGAAATAGTACTTTATTATTAGTATAACTTGATGAAGCACATAGTACCCTCTCTTTCAGATTCTTGGCAATGTCACCTCCACAAACTGATTCTCTTCCCTACAGATTGACAGATTAAAAACAAAACAAAGCCACAACTCAATCTCTAGGACAAGAAGCCTTGCTTGCCAAAAGTCACATAAACGACTTGTTCAATGTTCCTAGGCAATTTGGGTACTAGCCTAGCTTTTAGGACACATCTCAGATAAATTTACATTAAAATACTCTAGCTAGGCTGGCATTTTTCTAGGAGTGGAAGCACATCTTTATACTGGTTTTCCAAATCCGCTACCACTTGCTTGGCCAACACATATACTAAAACCATGTAACCAGTTACATAGCTGCAAATCAATACATTAAATGCATTCTAGGGGTTGGGTGTTTTCTGAGCCACAATTTTGTTGCTGTTGATGGTGGTGGTGAAGCAGGGTCTTGCTCTGTCACCCAGGCGGGAGGGCACTGGCACAATCATTGCTCACTGCTACCTCCAACCCCTGGGCTCAAGCAATCCTCCCACCTCAGCCTCCCAAGTAGCTGGGATGACGGGCACACACCACCAATGCCTGGATATTTTTTTGTAGAGACAGGGTTTCATCATGTTGCCCAGGCTGGTCTCAAACTCCTGAGCTCAAGTGATCTACCTACCTTTGCCTCCCAAAGTACTGAGATTACAGGTGTGAGAAATTGCACCTAGCCTCTGAGCCACAATTCTATCTGCTCCAAATTCTGGTGGGCAAGTTTTTAATTTTAAAGAAATACTCAAAACTATACCTGAAGTTCATGCTATGTTAAGGGGTCCACCCAGCCTCATTTTATTTTATTAACCATTACAGGAAACCCACTTAAAACTGCTAAATAGAAAGAACCAGCTTGTAATTAGTTTTTATTTTAGGGGATTCAGGGGCAACAGACTTGTGCCTCATATCCCCAGTTACAGCCTCTTTCTCAACATTTTTCTTTTATCAATGCACAAAAAAAATATGACAGACTTGCCTTGTGAGGTCGAAAATAGAGATACAGGCTGAGAGGAAGAGGAAGAAACAAAGGAATCTGAAAGAAAATATACAGCATGAGAATATGACAACCTCACACAGAAATTTTAACTTTAACTTTTTTTTGATGGGGAGGAAGAGCCAAGCATCATAATTTCATTGGGTTTAACAAGGGGGAAAACCCAAATCTTTACTTTGAATTATTGTTTTCACTCACCTGGTAGCAAAATCTTATTTTGTTTTCAAGATGCATTTCTAAAAGTTAATCCATTCTTTTTTTTGTTTTGTTTTAGTCAAACATTCTCATCTTCCAAAAAAAGAGGAACCCCTAGCATTTTAAATCAAGCACAACCTCAGGAACAAATGATGCTACTCTGCTACTCTATGTGGGAAAGGGAAAATAAGTATCTGAGTACTAATTAATATTTGCTTTTAACCATTCCTGAATACATTTTGAGGAGCTAGTCACTAACATAAGCATTTAAATATATTTAACTGGCAAATATGCAAAGTTGACCCTAAATATTTTTTTAAAAAGCACAATTAATCCATTGGGAAAAAAGAACTACATGAGAAATCTATCTTCTAAAATGATACTCCTTTAGGCCTGGTGCAGTGGCTCACATCTGTAATTCCAGCACTTAGGAAGGCCAAGGCAGGTGGATCACCTGAGGTCAGGAGTTTGAAACCAGCCTAGCCAACATGGTGAAACACTATCTTACTAAAAATACAAAAATTAGGTGGGTGTGGTGGCACATGCCTATAATTCCAGCTACTCAGGAGGCTGAGACAGGAGAATCCCTTGAACCCAGGAGGTATAGGTTGTAGTGAGCCAAGATCGCACCACTGCATTCCAGTGTGGGCAACAAAGTGAGACTCCATCTTAAAAAAAAAAAAAAGAAATAAAATAAAATTATACTCCTCTAAATTCAGCAACATACATCAAATTTAAAATGCACATATTCTCCTCCCAGTCCCCCTGCACAATACTAACTCTACAGTTACATTTCTAAGAATTTATCCTATAGACATATGTGCATACATGTACAAAGATATGTGTATGAGGATATTCATAAGAGCTCTGGTTATAAATATTAGGAATACTCTAAATGACCATCAACAGAGCACTAAAGTTACACCTAGCACTTGCTTGGCCAACACATATACTAAAACTGGAAGGATACACAGAAGACTAGCATGGCTCCTAAAGTTATTTTTAAAACTATGAAACACTTGCTGCTATGAGAAAGAATGAGGTACAGCTATACCTTGGTATCTGAGGGGAATTGGTTTTAGAACACCCCCCACACCAAAATCGAAAGATACTTAAGTCCTATGTATAAAATGGCATTGTATTTGCATATAACCTACACACACCCTCCCTTATAATTTAAGTCTCCTTTAGACACCTAATACAATGTAAATGCTATGTAAATAGTAACTACACTGTATTACATTAAAAATTTGTATTTTTAAATTCTTTTTTTTTAAAAATATTTTTGATACACAATCGGTTGAATCCACAGATGTAGAACCTGAGATAAGGTGGGCCAAGTGTATATGTAGACATAGTCCATATATGAATTAAACTTAAAAAACAAAATGCAGGCCAGGTGCAGTGGCTCATGCCTGTAATCCTAGTATTAGGAAGCCCAGGTGGGCGGATCACGAGGTCAGAAGTTCGAGACCCGTCTGGCCAATAAAGTGAAACCCCACCTCATCTCTACTAAAATTAGAAAAAAATTAGCTGGATGTGGTGGTGTGCACCTGTTAATTCCAGCTACTCGGGAGGTTGAGGCAGAAGAATCACGTGAACCTGGGAGGCAGAGTTGGCAATGAGCCAGGATTGTGCCATTGCATTCCAGCCCTAGAGACAGTATGGGACTCTGTCTCAAAAAAACAAAAACAAAAACAAAAAAACCCAAAAAAAACCACCACGTGCAGTGTGCTTAAAAAGCAGTGTGTTCCCATTTGTTAAATAACAAAGGGACAGCCAGGCACAGTGGCTGTAATCTCAGCACTTTGGGAGGCCGAGGTGGGCAGATTATGAGGTCAAGAGATCGAGACCAGTCTGGTCAACGTGGTAAAACCCCATCTTCACTAAAAATACAAAACTAGCTGGGAGTGGTGGTGTGCGCCTTTAAGTACTAGCTACTTGGGAGGCTGAGGCAGGAGAATCACTTGAACCAAGGAGGCAGAGGTTGCAATGAGCGCACCATTGCACTCTAGTCTGGGCGACAGGGCAAGACTTAATCTCAAAAAAAAAAAAAAAAAAAAAAAAAAAAAAAAAAAAAAAGAAAGAAAGAAACAACAACAACAAAAAACTACACCAAGAGGTAGTCAGGAGATCGAGACCATCCTGGCCAACATGGTGAAACCCTGTCTCTCATAAAAACACAAAAAACTAGCTGGATGTGGTGGTGAGTGCCTGTAATCCCAGGCACTTGGGAGGCTGAGGCACAAGAATCGCTTGAACCCAGGAGGTGGAGGCTGCAATGAGCCAAGATTGCACCACTGCACTCCAGCATGGGACAGAGCGAGACTACGTCTCAACAACAGCAACAACAAAAGAATAAAATAGCCACATGAAAAACAAAACCCTCCAAAATTGTCCCTAAATATTGAACTTTACAAATTAACTTCCTTTTATCTTACAATTATAAAAATGTTTTCACAAATGTTAGAAATATATTTAAACTAAAAAATTGCTTTAAAGGACTGGGCTATAGGTATAAGTGCTGATTTATGAAAACCAGTAACAAACATAGAGGTGCTTTTTAATCATATGAAAATAAAGTATGACATTTATTCCTATAAATTAAAAACAGCTGTCCTTTCCTTATTGATTTATTTTTGAGACAAAGTCTCACTGTGCTGCCCAGTGCAGACATGATCACAGCTTACTGCAGCCTTGATCTCCTGTGCTCAAGTGATCTTCCTGCATCAGCCTCCCAAGTAGCTTTGACTGCAGGTGCTCACCACTACATCCAGCTAGTTTATTTTCATTTTTTCTGGAGACAGGTCTTGCCATGTTACTTAGGGTGGTCTTGAACTCCTGGGCTCAAGCGATCCTCCCACCCAGCCTCCCAAAGTGCTGAGATAACAGGTGTGAGCCACCATGCCCAGTCCTGAGTGATACTTTAAACAAGGGTAGCTCTGCTGCTCCAGGTTTTGCCATGTGATGTGCCTGCATCCCCTTTGTCTTCTGCCAAGATTGTAAGCTTCCTGAAGCCTCCCTAGAAACTGAGCAACCTCCGGCACCCTGCTTCCCATAAAGCCTGCAGAACTGTTCATAGAGAGAAATTTTATTCGAGGGTGGCTCATACCCAGAGTTTCATTATACCTAATATAGATGATTTAAAAAAGATATGGGGCTTTTTAGCTGATTAAATTTAGAAATTGAGAAGATGGAAAAAGATATTCTAGAATGAGCTATCAAGCCACACAAAGACATGAAGGGACAAAGACATGCTTACTGATCTGTAAAGGAAGCTAGTCTGAAAGGGCAACACACTGGACCAGTCCAATTATATGACATTCTGGAAAAGATCTGTACATTTGATATCAGGAAAAAAAACCAGAAACAACAAAACAACATAAATACTTCAAGCAGCAAGAGTTTAGAAAGCATAAAAATTCAGGGCTAGGTGCGGTGGCTCACACCTGTAATCTCAGTACTTTAGGAGGCCAAGGTGGGCAGATCACGAGGTCAGGAGATCAAGACCATCTGGCTAACATGGCGAAACTCCATCTCTAAAATACAAAAAATTTGCCAGGCATGGTGGCACTCACCTGTAGTCCCAGCTATTTGGGAGGCTGAGGCAGGAGAATTGCTTGAACCCAGGAGGCAGAGTTGCAGTGAGCCGAGATTGTGCTACTGCACTCCAGCCTGGGGGTCAGAGTAAGACTCTGTCTCAAAAAAATAAAAAAAGAAAGAAGGTATAAAAAGAGAAGTAATGTAAGAAATAAATTATATATGAGCACCTAGAAGCTGAAAATTCTATCAGGATACACAGAGACCAATGAAGAAGATCAAATAAAAAATAACAATTTTCAATTAATCCTTTACTACTCAGGAGGCCAAGGTGGAAGGACCCTTTGAGCCTAGAAGAGGGGGGTTGCAGTGAGCCAAGATCACACCACTGCACTCCAACCTGGGTGACAAAATGAGACCCTGTCTCAAAAAAAAAAAGAGGGAGATGGCTCACGCCTGTAATCTCAGCACTTTAGGAGGCTGAGGCACGTGGACTGCTTGCACCTAGGAGCTCAAGACCAGCCTGGGCAACATGGTGAGATACTATCTCCACAAAAAAATTTTTTTAAGATTATATGGGTGTGGTGGTATGTGCCTGTAGTCCCAGCTACTTGGAAGGCTGAGGTGAGAGGATTATTTGAGCCCAGGCAGCTGAGGCTGCAGTGAACTGTGATCACACCACTGTACTCCAGCCTGGGCCACAAAGACCTTATCTCAAGGAAAAAAAAAAAAAAAGTAAAAGCAGCATGTTTATCTATCTCTATGTTTCCAGATGGATTCATTTCTACAAGCATTAACTATCAATATTAAATCTCTGCCAATGGTAAGTTTAAATCCCAACAAACCTGAAAAACCAAATGCTTCAAGCCCAATGCCAAAAAAGATCCTATGAACATGCCAGCTGTTTGCCTTTTCAACTTCACCTAACACTCCCTCCTAATGGAAAATTTCAACATGCAAATTGTTACGCAGATGCAGAACACAGATAACTGGTAATGATTGGAACAATATTCCATGAAATTTCTAACTTAGAAAACCACATTGTTTTCATACTCAATATTTGTGCCACAGGGAAATGACCCCAGAATAATGATCTTAATCCTCAAATGCCACTAATGAAATCATTTTCATTAAGTAGCTAGGTCCGGGACCTGTGTTAGTACTGGTAATATAGTGTCCACAAATAGGTGAAAAGCAAGTATATGCCAGTAAAACTGTACGAGTTGTGGGAATGCAGCGGAAGACAGCCACTATAGTAAATTAAGAATGTTTCAGAAGAGATGGTAAACTTGGTCTTAAGGAAA